GTCTTCAGATCCTCTTCAAAGACCTTTTCCGCTTCCTGCTCGTCTACCTGCTCTTCATGATTGGCTATGCTTCAGGTGAGCTCTGGGTGCCCACGGGGGGCCTGGTAGGGGTGGTGCCAGGACTGCAAGAGTAACTAGAATGTATCGAGGACAATAAGTAGCATGTATTGAGTTCTTCCTGTGTGCCAGGCACTGGGCTAAGTACTCTACCATCCCTGCCTCATTTAATCCTCCCAACAAGCCTTGCGAACTAAGTTCCTTTATTATCCTCTTTTACAGAGAAGGAAACTGAGGCTTAGAAAGATTTAATAACTTGCCCAAGTTCAAAAGCTAGTAAATGATAAAACTGGCATAATAGCTATTGCTGCAAAGGAAGCCACCCAAAACTCAGTGGCTTCAAACAGCCACCATTTATTATTGCTCATGAGTCTATGGGTCAACTGGGTGGTTGTGCTGACCTGGTCAGTTTTGGCTGATCTTGCTGGGCTCCTGTGTCTGTGGTCAGCTGGCTGCCAACTGACTGGCCTGGCTAGGATTGCCTCAGGTGGGGGGACTTGGCTATCATCCTCCAGCCAGCTAGCTTGGGCTTGTTTGCATGGTAGTCTTATGGTCCCAAGAACATGTGCAGAAGACCTGGCATAGCATCACTGCCACCTCACTGTATTGGCCAAAGCAAGTCACAGGCCAGCTCTGACTCAGAGGGTGGAAAAATAGACTCCGCTTCTTGATGGAAGAAGCTATAAAGCCACATTGAAGGGGCATGGATACAAGCAAGGATGAAATTTAGTGATTAATCTTCCAGCCCAGGTCTTTTCTTAAAGCCCAATATCGGCTCCCTCTGAAATGCCTTCTCTGTGATGTCACAGTGCCAAGCTGAGGCATGCTGGCACCTCAGTGGCATAGGCCATGGGGGAAGGACCAAGGATGGAGAAGCTGACCAAGCCATTGCACTGGTCTCCAAGGGGTAGGTGATCTGCCATCAATGCCCAGCATCCAAAGGGGAGTGGCCATCTCAGGCTTGACCAGGCCACATTCACATCAGAGCAGGCTTATTTGGGGACTGGTACTAGCAGCAGGAGTCTGATATTTTACCTCAGATTGTATTGAGGCTCTGCATGGACTATATTGGCGTAACAGAACTGTAGCCTTGGCTGGGGATATAGGAACAGGTCCTCATGCTCCCTGCCTTGGCTGGTTTAGTGACAGGATGTTGCTGCTAAACTGTGTTGAGAAGGACTCTGAAGCTTCACCTGGGCTTATAGGGAAGAGATGAGTGCTGTGAGCAGTTCGAGATGTCTGGAGGGCTCTTCTGGCTAAAGAAGCATTCTGATTGCTACATCACACATAGAAATAATTTTAACCTCTTATGCTGGTGATTGATTGCTAATGTCTGCCCGGAGTGCCATGTCGAGGCTAAGTCTGTGTTTAGTGGGAAAGAGTGTGGTGATTGATTAATGATGTCTGCCTCAGGTACAGGTTAGGGAGTGACTGCATGTGTGCTACATATTTTTCATTTCCCTTAGAGTTAGGGAACAATGAATTTCACTTGAGCACAAAATCTCTGTTGAACACTGCTGAATCTTTCTCTAGCAATTCCAAAGGGCATTACTTGAGGACCTTGTAGGGCCATTACTAGCATCCTTGGTCTCTATCCACTACGTACCAGGAGCACCCTCACCCCCAGTTGTATCAGCCAAAAATGTTTCCAGACATTGCCAAACATCCCTTGGGGGGAAACTTGCTTTTGGTTGACAGCATCCTTGGTCTCTATCCACTAGATACCAGGAGCACCCTCACCCCCAGTTGTAACAGCCAAAAATGTTTCCAGACATTGCCAAACATCCCTTGGGGGGAAACTTGCTTTTGGTTGAGAACCACTGAATTAGATCCTGAAAACTTCTTTCTTATCAGTGAGAGTTTGTGGAAAGACAAAAGCTTTGGATTCAGGAGGCTCCGGGCTGGACTCTTGGCTTGGCTCATATGCTGGTAACCTTGGGCCAGCGTTCTCGCCTTGCCAAACCTCAGCTTTCTCCTCCATCAAGTGGGAATGGCGCCCCCCACATGCTCATCAAACTCAGCAAACGCCACCTCTATCCCTCCCACAGCCCTGGTCTCCCTCCTGAACCCATGCGCCAACATGAAGGTGTGCAATGAGGACAAGACCAACTGCACGGTGCCCACGTACCCCTCATGCCGCGACAGCGAGACCTTTAGCACCTTCCTCCTGGACCTCTTCAAGCTGACCATCGGCATGGGCGACCTGGAGATGCTGAGCAGCACCAAGTACCCCGTGGTCTTCATCATCCTGCTTGTCACCTACATCATCCTCACCTTTGTGCTGCTCCTCAACATGCTCATCGCCCTCATGGGGGAGACGGTGGGCCAGGTCTCCAAGGAGAGCAAGCACATCTGGAAGCTGCAGGTGAGGCCCCACAATCCTGTCCCCACCCTGCCAGCCACACTTGGCCTTCCAAGGTGGGAGGCTGCAGAGACGTCTCACCAGACTAGATTCCTCAGCCTTCCACTCCAGGCGAGCAGCATTATCTCATTCTGCCTCCATCTCCCTGTCTGTGAAATGGGCATTGAAGGCTGCTGCCTACTTCCCAGAGCCGCCTAGTGAATTTCAATGTGGCTTCATGCCCGAGCACCAGCAGTGGTCTCAGATTCACCTTGTGGTCCAGCTCACAGGATACAGTCGGCTCCATCCAGCATGACGAAGTTGCCTCTGTCTGCACAAGTAATGCTCAGAGAGCATTGACATTTCGACAGGGGTCCCACACTGAGCTTGGGGACAACTTCTGTACCCCACTGTGGCTCAAGATGTGAGGCTGCATGGGCCCGGGCCAACCCAGTGCAGAGAGGTGCCAGCATTCTCATCAGGGGGCTTTCACCAGCTCAGGAGTAGTTTCCAGGCTCCACGGCCCCTGAGCATGCTGTCACAGAGGAGAAGCCGATGCAGATGTGGCCCCCGCTGGCCCGGGAGACCTGCTGCTTTTGCTTCCCAAAAGGTTTCTATGCAATCCTAGAAAGCAGAGGCCCTGGGGTTCACAGCCCTCCCAGGCCAGGTGCAATTCACAAATCTGGGTGTTCACAATAAACAATGCCACCATAAGGCCCAGGAACACAGCGCCACATTTACCTTAACTTAGTGCATTTCAAGGAAATGATGCAGAGAAGAAAAAACCCAAAGTCATCCTTCCATGTCTGGGTCTGAGGGAAATGCCTCGGGCCTGCTCTTAACCTTTATCTATACTGCTTACTTCCCTGGGCCTCAGTTTCCCCACTGGGCATAACTCACAGGATGCACACTGGCAGCCCGTGGACTGGATTTGGCCAGCAAAGATTTATTTTTTTCAGACTACCATATTTTTAAAAAAATTAATGCAAAATTTAAAAATTAGGAGATTCTATATAAAAATCCACATTTTTGGCCTTCCTTGAAAAGTTAGAAGCCCCAGCAATGCAGGGCCCACATTCCTGCCAGACAGCCCTTGGATGGGATGAGAAGTGGCTGCCCCCTTTACATGGGGTGTTTGCTCCCTGGTTTGCCCCAGTCCCCACCCCTCCCTATTGATTCCCAACAGCAAGTGGTGACTACTGTGTATGTGTCATGGGGCCTGGGCTGCGGCCTTTCTGCGTCTCATCCTGCTTCACTCATTCGTTTTCCTGTGAGTTTGTAAGTCCTGTTTCTCAGGGCAGTAGGAGCCAGAAAGTCTTGTTCTCTGCCCACGCCTGCCTGTCACCTCATTTCTGCATTAGGACAATAGGTGTGGGCTGGGGAGGCTCAGTGACATCTCCACCCTGACCCTCCCTCCCTGCAGTGGGCCACCACCATCCTGGACATCGAGCGCTCCTTCCCCGTGTTCCTGAGAAAGGCCTTCCGCTCTGGGGAGATGGTGACCGTGGGCAAGAGCTCGGATGGCACCCCAGACCGCAGATGGTGCTTCAGGTGAGGCTGGCACTGGCAGGGCAGATGGGGGCTTCAGTCGCTTCAGCTCACATTGCCATTTCCAGCCACAGAGGCCACCATGGGCCCCGCCAGAGTTTAGTTCCACTGAGTGATCTTGGGCAAATCCATTTACTTCTCTCAGCCCCAGTTGCTTCATCTGTGAAATGGGGACCATGACAGCTCCAGCTCCTAGACCAGCAGTGTGGACTAGACCAGTCAGCACATGAGATGTGCTTGGCCAGTGTCCCACACATTGGGGCACCCAGAGGCTCCTCTGTCTCTTGCTTGGGGGGAAGCAGAGACTTGGAGGCAGTGCTCATCTCAAAGCATCACCCTGTATTGTCCAAACAATGGGGTGGGCTTTGGTGCCATGGGCTGAGATGGGGAAACTGAGGAATCAGCAGCTTCCAGGGATTGGGACCTTCCCCAGCCCATCTGCGGGGTGACCTCACGTTCCAGGTGCACGAGGAATGCCAGTTTATTAGGGGAACCCCTTGGTGAATCTTTTAAGGAGACCCATTCTCTGTAAAGTGATTGCCAGCATAGAGTATAAGCGTAATGTCTGGAGTTAGACGAGGTCAGTTTCCTCATCTGTGAAATGGGGGCAGTCGTAGCACCCACCTCCTAGGCCAGCCGGTCAGTTCTGTTCAGTTTGAATCCAAAGTTCAAACCCTGACTCCGTAACTTACCAGCTTTACGGCCTCAAACCATTTAACGAGCCTAGGGTTCCTCGTCTGTAAAATGGGAACGGCAAACCTACCTTCTTTGCTACATCCTGACACGTAGCAATAACTCAGAAAAGATAGAGGTTGTATGAAAATAACAAAAAAATAATTTTAAAAAGTGTAACTTACCAGCTTTACAGCCTCAAACCGTTTAACGAGACTAGGGTTCCTCGTCTGTAAAATGGGAACGGCAAACCTACCTTCTTTGCTACATCCTGACATGTAGCAATAACTCAGAAAAGATAGAGGTTGTATGAAAATAACAAAAAAATAATTTTAAAAAGCAAAGAGGCTGTAACCTGACTTTACCAGGATGTCCCAATAAGAAGAGGTAATAGTATCAAGAAGGGGGGTGACGATCAGCAGACGGACGGCTAAACAAAATGTGGCAATATCCATACAGTGGGATATTATTTGACCATAAAAAGGAACGAAGTAGAAACACGTGCTTCAGCATAGATGAGCCCTGAAAACATTACGCTAAGTATAAGGAGCCCTCACAAAAGGACACATATTGTATGATTCCACTTATATGAAATGGTTAGAATAGGCAAATCTATATAGAAACAGAAAGTAGATTAGAAGTTACTGGGGCTAGTGGGAGGGGAATAGGGAGTTATTGCTTAATGGGTACAGAATTTCTGTTTGGAGTGATGAGAAAGCTTTGGAAATAGTGTGATGGTTGCACAACATTGTGAATGTACTTAATGCTACTGAATTGCATACTTAAAAATGGTTGAAATGGCAAATTTTATCTTATATATATTTCACAATAATTAAAAAAATAGGAGGGTGGGCTGGAGAGGCTGGAGGAGGGGGGCTGCCTGAGTCAGGAGGGGGGACGGGGAGCCATCCCAGTGGGGCTCCCCCCGACCCTCTGCTCTGACACTGCCAGGGTGGATGAGGTGAACTGGTCTCACTGGAACCAGAACTTGGGCATCATCAATGAGGACCCGGGCAAGAACGAGACCTACCACTATTACGGCTTCTCACACACTGTGGGCCGCCTCCGGAGGGGTGAGTGGCAGGACTGGGGCGCAGAGTGGGAGCCCTGGTCCACCCTGATCACTAATCTGCCTTGAGCAGTCCCATCCCCTTTCCAGGACCCAGTGTCCTTGTCTGCAGAATGGGAGGGGGAGAGGGGCTGGCCGCTGTTTCCTCTGCTGCCTGTGAACGCCTGCGACACCTCACCTTTGTGACTTTGCCCTGGGCCTCCCTATGCTGTGACGTGAGCTGGCATGGGGAGGGAGGATGAGACCCTCGGCCATCCCCAGGGTGGAGAAAACCCTTCCATTTTCCTGCTAAACTGAGAGTATGCGAGATGCAGTGGGAGAGGACAAGGGTGCTCAGGGCGTTCTGATCTGGACTTGAATCCCGGTTCCTCCATTCACTCCTGTGTGCTCCTGGCAGGCACCTTTACCTCTCTGGGCCCCAGTTTTCACCTCTGTAAAATGGGCATAATAATACTCCCCTCTTTAGATCATTGTAGAGCGCCCCATACACAGTAGGTGCTTAATACATGCATGTTCTCTCCACCAACCCTCACTCCCCCCCCGCCACATGCTCACTCTACAGATCGCTGGTCCTCGGTGGTGCCCCGTGTGGTGGAACTGAACAAGAACTCAAATCCGGAAGAGGTGGTGGTGCCTCTCGACAATATGGGGAACCCCAGCTGCGATGGCCACCAGCAGAGTTACCCCCCCAAGTGGAGGACTGATGACGCCCCCCTCTAGGGCCTGTGAGCAGGGGCAGGGTCTCCGGCCTGCAGCCTGTCCCCTTCCCCCTCACCCGCCTATTTCTAGTCCACTTGCATTTCAGCAGTGCCTCCTGGGGTGACCCCCACATCCTCCTTTGACCTCCAGAGGTGAGGGATGGTAGGGACCTCTGGTGGCCGGGCTCCTGCCCCCAGCTCTGCCTCCCCACCCTGGGGTTGGGGCTCCTGGCTGCCTGTCTCACTCCCATGGAGTCACATAAGCCAACGCCTGGCTTCTCTGCCCCTAGGGGCTCAGACCCCTGCCCCTGCCTCTCTATTATTTATTTGCTCTGCTCTCAGGAAAGTGGCATGACCCCCGCCCCCAGCTGGAACCTGGCAGAGGCCTCAGGACCCATTCCAGGTGCACCAACTGGCTAATTCCCCAGCCCCAACCTGCACCCTGGGTTGCACGCACCACCATGTGTGGCAGCATAATGGTTTTGCCAAGAGGCTGGGGCCTCTGGCGGGGGTTGCACCTTCTGTGTGTTCTGTAGAGTGTATGGGATTTGTCGGTGCTCAATAAATGTTCATTCATTGCTGGTGGTGATGGCGGGATGATGGTGGGGGGGGCGATGGTGACAGGTGTGGGGATACTCCAAGGGAGGTGGGACAGCTAGGAAATGCCTGTGGTGGGGGGATGGGGATGAGAATGAGGGCCATGGTGATGACCAGGTGGCATTTAGAGTGCTGATGGTCCAGGGTGCTGGACTGGTGGTGGTTTTAATGGTGGTGGTGGTGGCCCAAGAGATGGGGGTAAGATTGGAGTGGCCATGGAGAAGGTAGAGATGAAGGGAACGGGGCAGGGAGTCATGCTGGTGGGAGTAATCATGCTGATCAGGGGAGAGTATGAGGGTGCTTCAAAAAGTTCATGGAAAAATAGAAGTAAAAGGTAAATCTTTTCATGAACTTTTTGAAGTACCCTTGTAATGCTGGCGGGTGACAGTAATGCTGGTTGGGGGCGATGGTGCTAGTGGGGAGACAGTAGGTTTGGTCAGGCGAGAGTAACACTGGGAGGGGTACTGATGCTGCTGGGGGAGAGTGATGCTCACCAAGGCATAGTGATGCTGCCGGGTGGGGGCAGAGCTGGGATGGAGATGGGCGAGCCCCGAGTGTCAGCAGTGGGGGTGGGGTGAGCAGGAGGGTAGCCGTGGTAAGGACAGCGGTGGCAGCTGGAGTGTTGATTGTGCTTGTGGAGCTGGGAGCAGGCTGATGGGACTTGTGGTGGTGATGGTGGGCTGAGAGGTGGGGACGGCGTCTCCTTGGGTACCTGTCTGCTGCTTCTGTCTGCGGGCCCCTCTGCCATATGAGGCTGTGAATGGTGAGGGATCTGAAGGCAGACCCACCCCCCTTCCCAGGGCAGCCATTCCTCCTGGGGTCACACCCTACTGCCAGTCAAGCCCCTGGGCAGCTCCAGGCCTCCCAGCATGAGAAGGGACCCCCACAAACACCCATCCTGCTGCCTCCACCCTGAAGCTGAGGAATCTGTGACTTGCTGTTTCCGTCTGACTTCCCCCGCTCCTGGGTTCTGCTCAGTCTGGGGTCTTTTGTCTTTCTGAAGCTTCATTCGAGACAAGCATGGGTCTCTGGCGACCTGGCCAAGAGCAGCTGCAGTGGGAAAGAGCACGGGGCTTGGGGTCTGCAGACCCAGGTTGGCACCTTCTGCCCAAACCTTGGCCATGGGTTGTTCTGTTTAGAGAACTTGAGTGGAGTCACTACCTCTCTGTCCTCATCTGTCAAAAGGGTTAGAATCAAGGACAGAAGGGGCGTGAGTCTTCTAAACTCCACAAGAAGGAAGGGAGGACTCATGGTACTACCCCTGAGGCTGTCCAGGGGGCTCCAACCTTCTCAAGGACCTGACCCTCCATCTCCCTCCACGGTGCCATCCTGGAGCTGATGGGCTGTCCTCAGAGCCCAGATTTTCCCAGGGCTCCATGCTCCACCTTCCAATCCAGCACCCAGAGAGAGGGTCCTCATCAGCATTCTCAACAGGGGGCCCAGGAGCCATTCTGATTGGACAGACTGGGGTCACATGCCACGCCTGGGCCAATCCCTATGGCCAGGGGGTGGGATTTCCCTGGCTGAAGCTCCCCAGAACCACAGGGAACCCCAACTGCAACGGCCAGAGTGGCAGGTCAACTCTCTGCAGGCTGCAGATAAGTGTCCTTCCCTCAGGTCAAGCTTTGGGAAGGACCAGTGATTGTGACTGACCCCTGGGGCTCTGAGTCTGAGAAGGGCGGAAGGTCTGGGGCAGAGAAGGGAGCACGGTTTTCCTTTATCCCTTACTCTGGTTAAGGTGAAAACACTCTTTTACTGAAGTTGTTGGTGTTGGGCTCTTTTCCTGGGTTGCTTAGAAGACAAGATGACCACCTGGATCTTTCCTTGAAGGTGGGTGCTGAGGATGAGGGGAGGGCCCCTTTTGCCTCAGTGCCCTCGAGATGGGGATAGTAAAGGGGGAGATGGGTATGTGGGAAAAGGTCCTAGAAAGCTGTGGATTTAGAAGCAAGAAAACTAGATGCTAGTCTTGCCTGAGGCATTTGTGGATAGGTCATAAACTCTTTGAACCTCAGTTTCCTCATCTGTAAAATGGACACAGCCTTTGTGAAGATCAAGTGATTCCCTGGGCTTTTCAAAGAAGAGATGATTGTGGTTGTGGTGTTTGTACACAGTTATGCAATTTGGGCAGCAAACAACAGAGAACTTATGCTGGCTGAGAGAAAAGGAACATTTATTGTCTCAGATAGCAGGTCTTCCCAAGGAGGGCATTAAGGCCAGTTAGTTTGTTAGTTCAGGGTCTCTGATTTATTAAGGGGCTGGTTCTGCCACTCATTTATTCCTTCAGTTTTTAAGTACTGGATTCCAGCCATGTGTCAGGCACTGTGCTGGGCAATACCCACTTGGGTGTGCTGGAATTTCCCTCACACTGGCTTCCCTCAAGGACAAAAGATGGTGCCCTTCATCAGGCATCACACCCAGATTTGGCTGCATCCAGAGGGAGAAGGGCAGACAGCTCTTCCTGTATCTTTCTTTATGAGGGAGGAAACCCCACTTGGGTGTGCTGGAATTTCCCTCACACTGGCTTCCCTCAAGGACAAAAGATGGTGCCCCTCATCAGGCATCACACCCAGATTTGGCTGCATCCAGAGGGAGAAGGGCAGACAGCTCTTCCTGTATCTTTCTTTATGAGGGAGGAAACCTTTCCCCGAAGTCCCCCAGTCAGCCTCTCCACTTGTACTCTTGCCCAGAATTGTGTCATGTGTCCCATGCTTCAGCCAATCAGTAGGCAGGAAGCAGCAACTGGCCTAAAGAAGCAGATGGCAATATGAAGGAAGTGACCCCAGCCAGGTCCTGTGAGATAGGAGGATGGGGGGATAATCAATGTTGCCTAGGCAACCAGTAGCATCTGCTATGGACCTTTCCCCAGATGGCCACCCTGCACCCCAACATTGTCACCAAGAATGGCTGTGGCTCATTCTGGGGCCGTGAAGAGATCACTTTTCTAGGCGCCTATGCAATGGGCCTGTCCACAAAATCAAAACACCCTCCCAACTCAAAGGGACTCAATGACTTCTTGAGGTGAGTACTTAATTCATTTATTTTTATTTTTTTTAAAATGAAATAATTTTGGCTATGAATTTTCCTATGAGTATACTTTTAGCCACATAGTAGTAA